GATTACTGTTGCTAAACTACCTTCCAGAAAGATTATACAAAAGCTTCAGTTGACAAAAGCATCCTTTTCCCTATTTAATTTGTTGACAATTTTTAGAGGGTTTTGGATAATAATGAAGTTCTTTCTTTTTAAAAAAAAATATTTTATTGATTTTTTACAGATAGGAAGAGAGAGGGATAGAGAGTTAGAAACATCGATGAGAGAGAATCATCAATCAGCTGCCTCTTGCACATCCCCTACTGGGGATCTGCCCGCAACCAAGGTACATGCCCTTGACCAGAATTGAACCTAGGACCCCTCAGTCCGCAGGCCGACGCTCTATCCACTGAGCCAAACTGGTTTCGGCAATAATGAAGTTCTTAATGTCATTGTTGCCAGGTCCATCAATCTTTTTTTTTTTTTTTTTGGTGGGGAGGGGTGTTGTACTTCGCTGGTGCTTTATCCAGTTTTATTGTAAGACCTGAGTATGTATAAAACCATAGTAGGTTAATCATATAACTAGCAGCTCTGAGTACTGAGATTATAGGCTTAAAGGTAAACTGCAGAGACATAAAAGAGCTTTAAAACTTTTACCTAGAATGCCTGAAGTTTTCTCTCAATGTTCTTTACATTCTGGTGTCTATGTTACTTGATTATACACGTGCAGTATCTGATGACAGTGTTGGTAATATAGAAGTGAGATAGAGTAAATCCCTTTTAATAAAATAATCTTCTAACCCTGAAATTCTTTCTAATCATAGCTATGTCATGCCTTCAGGTAAAACTTGAGAACAAAACAAATGATAATCAGAATTTTGTATAATTAGTCCTTTTTTGTTATTGCTGTTGCGGCTTTGTCTTATTAATTATGCTATACTTTAAAACATTTTGAAGTTGAGTTCTTGGTGCATTTGGTTCTGTGTTTATGAAGAAAGAGTCCTTAAGTGAATAGGATTTAGAATCACTGCTAGATTGAGAAAGCTTTGTTGTCTCTCAAAACAAAATGAACAGTAATCATTCTTTAGTAGAAGTAATAAATTGCTTTTTATTAAAATATACGTGTTTGTATGTCAGGTAATTGAGAAACTGATTCTCAGACACCCAAGTTTTAATCTAGAATCTTAAACTTTCAAGTTGACAGTTTCTTAGTGAGTAAGTGTACCTGTATGCTTAGTTTCTAAAATTTTACTAAGATATTCTCATGCGTTTAAGGCTTACTATCTCTGTGCTGTTCACTATCTTATACTGAAGCCATAAATCCTAAGCAGTTGAGTATTTATAGGTGGTGGTTCAATGGACATTTGTTAAATCAATTGAATTTGAATGGTTACATTTTATAAATGTGCTATTTAGTAAAATGAAAAACTTACACTTTATTTTATTTTTAAAATTTCTTTATTGATTAAGGTATATACATATGTGCCCTAAATCCCCCATTCCCCCCCCCCCCATCCCCATTCATGCCCTCACCCCCTATTGTCTGTGTCCATTGGTTAGGCTTATATGCATGCATACAAGTCCTTTGGTTGATCTCCCCCTCTTCCCCCACCCTCCCCTATCTTCCATCTGAGGTTTGATGGTCTGATCGATGCTTCTCTGTCTCTGGATCTGTTTTTGTTCGTAAAACTTGCACTTTAGATAAAACAAATGTAAATAATTATTAGAAAATGTTTTATTTTTTCATTAAATTATCTGGTCTAATATTCAAGTTCAATAGCATAATTAAATTTGAATATGTTCTCACAGACTTATAAGTAAAAGTCAACAAATAGACCCTTGCCGCTTGTGTGAAGTAGCTACCTTGTTTCCCGAAAATAAGACATCCTCCGAAAATAAGACCTACTTACAGGTTTCCTAATAAGTGAAATATAAGACATCCCCCCGAAAATAAGCCCCCCCCCCTAGGCTCTGTCTCAAAATGCTATTGCTAAACATGAGAAATTTGGTCCACTGATTCTGAAAGAAATGGAGTCACAAGAAATTCACCAGGAAATTCAGGAATTGAATTGTTATGATCATGTTCCAGAAGATGATGACAAGATTGTCATTGAATAAATTCTTGATACTGTAGGATTCACAGTTTGTCTGGTTTGTGTTGACAACTACCGTACTACCGTACCGTATACAGGTAATAAATGTCCTTTCTTTTCATTTAACAATAAATGTGTACCGTATTCTTCTTCATGGAAAAATAAGACATCCCCTGAAAATAAGACCTAGCGCATCTTTGGGAGCAAAAATTAATATAAGACACTGTCTTATTTTCGGGGAAACAGGGTATTTAACCATGAAGTAAACTATTTTTATTGCCACTGCCCTGTGGATATGTTCTCTCTGGCAGTGCTGTCCATATTTGGTGGCCCTGCATGGAGAGCCAGGTGGTGCTGAAAAGCATCACACAGTGAAGCGTGGATATATCTGGGTTCGACATTTGTCATTCCTTACTGCTGAAGGGAAGAGTAAAATCTGTTTTTCCATATGTTTATGCTTTTTTTTTTGCCTGCAGTTTTGTCCAGCTGGTCTTATGAACATTGTTTACTTTAGGATGTTATCCCAGATGTTTTGAAATTTAATGGGTAAATGTAGTACACAGATACATAAGTAATTTGCATGTTATGGTTTAAAAATGCGATGTTTTTATAAGATTAAAATATAGTTTCTGGAAGTATTTTCCTAAGTGAATAAGAAATATGTGTTAAATATGTAATCTATTTATATATAGTTAATATAATCTATATAGTTCAGTTCCCCTAATCACTCTGTTTTCATGTTAATAAGCTAAAATATGGCAACATTTATTAAGAATGTTAACTAAAGGAAATACTTTTGAAGAGCCATATTTGTTCAGGATTGCATATAGCCAAATTTGTAAGATTGCAGCCCTCTATGTTTTATAATTTTTCTCATTGTACATAAATCACTGAAGAGAAATTAGGTGGTAAATGACAATAAATTTATAATGAAAAGGCTATCATTGTGATTGTGGGCAAAACCAAGAAATTATGAAAACCACAAAGTCAATATAAAAGGCAAAACTTATATTAACAATTCAGAAAATCCAGTTAGAAATAAGGGATAAATAAACTGGGGGGGGGGGGGAGGAACTCAGAAAGTACAGGGAATGATTAAAGAGAAGAAAAACAGTGAGAGCAGATAAGCAGTAAACATGAAGAATAGCTCATGAAGATACGAATTCTGTCACAAATAATTTTTGATGGGCGTTCTGGACTGTTTTTCACACACAGAGTGCTTACTATGGCAACAACTTTGCAAATAGCAGTTCGTTTAATCCTTATGACAAGTACATGAGAAAATGTGTTAATAACCTCCCTTGATACTGGATCCCCATCTATTGAGGCCTTATTTTTTGGGAGGTGGGGACCAAAAGTCAAAGGTGCCAAATCAAGCTTTGTTTGAACCAATAGCATGTGCATTTGGTCGGTCTGCCAGCATCCAAGACTAAAGTTTCTCCTCATGGTGGTTTCTTGCTCCTGTCCTGAGAACAGGGCCACCTCCACCTCTGTTCATCTCCTATAATGCTTCTGTGCAGAGGGCAGGATGGGGAACTCATCAGACAAATGGAAGGCAACAAGTGTACTCTATTTGCTGTTTAATCTTGTAGGTTTTCATTTATATTGACTTTTTCATATTTTTATTGATTTTAGAGAGGGATAGAGAGATAGAAACATCAATGATGAGAGAGAATCATTGATCAGCTGCCTCCTGCAAGCCTCCCACTGGGGATCCAGCCCACAGCCCAGGCTTATGCCCTTGGCCAGAATCAAACCCGGGACTCTTCAGTCCGCAGGCTGACACTCTATCTCCTGAGCAAAACCGGCTAGGGCGACATCATACCCCTGTGGAAGAAGGAGCATTCATCTGATTATAGGATCAAACAGCCAAGCATTTAGCAGTTAATTGGCAATGCAAGGCAGCATGTCAATATTAGATGAGTAAAGTACTTAATTGTAAAGAACTACACAATCTGAGGACTGAAAGGGATTTAAAAGAACATTCAGTTAAAACCAAAGGATTTGAGAACCTGGGTCTTTCCTGTCAAATTTCAAATAATAATGATTCAGAAAATAATTTGCTGTTAAATAGGTATAATTGTATTAGTTCGTGAGTGTTAGGAATTGTTCTTCATTTTCATATTGTTATTAAACATTATACTATAATTTTCAAATTTGCATTAATTATACAAGTTCGTAAACACAAAACATGGACTTAATGTACTATGCACTTAGGTTTTAGCTTTTATATTATAATTATGTTAATTTTTAACTTTTTATTTGACACTTTTGAATATAGAAAAGTTGCAAGAATACAAAAAAAATTGCCATTGTATAGTGATTTTCTAATTTCATAATTTCTTTTATTAGTTGGCATTTGCTTGTAAGGAAATTTTCTCCCTTTCATTTCCACTTTAAAATTTATTATCAGTTCAGAATCACTTTCATTTTATCCAGTGAATAATAATCTGCTAGTGCCCTTTTTTAGTTTTATATTCAAACTTTCCCACATTGGACTCGTGGGAACCTATTAGAAATGGCAACTGTGTATTTTGATATATTCATCACTCTTTTGAAAGTACTTCCTTATTTTTTTTGGCACAATAATGTGCTAGACTCATTTGGCCTCTTTACTGCCCCAGGTTAAGAATCAGCCTTTTCTTCAAGGAGTCTACATTTCTTTTAGTAATGTAGGGATGGTATTTAGAAACCAAGATCTGGATCTTTTGTACTCATGTTTTAACTTTCTCTTTCATATTTAGTTCTTCAATTAATCTGGAGCTTACTCTGCAATGCGGTGTGAGGTACAGATGTGTATATTAACAGGAATTAAAATGAAGTGCGTTAGCAGTAAATTATAAAACTCAAGACAGTTATTTGTGTCCTGTCCTTCAGGAGTACTGATTCAGGGGAAACAGCTTATTTAATGTCAAATAATGTATTTAAATAATGTCAAATTATATGTACTTAATTTTACATTTTATGTCAATTATGTTTTCTCTAACTTAGATGCATTTTCTAGAATTATAAAATTTTGTGAAGAAAAACATGAAACAGATGAAAAAAAGAAGGGAAAAAAAGTCAACAGTATTTTATCTGTAAAAGGAATTACAAATTTAGGAAATACTTGCTTTTTTAATGCAGTTATGCAGGTAAGAGGCATCCGAAAGTTTTGTAAAATGTCAAAGATCATTTTAATTAATTTATATTTGTTTGCATAGCTGTAACCTGTCTAATGACTACTACATATTCATCTAGAAACTTGTTTTCTCTTTGTTTTAGGCTATCTTTAGCCATCGTCATACACATATATACACCTTCCATTTTCATCATGCTTCTTAGATGTCTTCTCTGTGTTTTACCATGGCTCTGTCGGTAACCATGACATTTTTTTAAAAAAAATTTATTTTTATTTTTAATAGATTTTATTGATTTTGTACAGAGAGGAAGGGAGAGAGATAGAGAGTTAGAAACATCGATGAGAAAGAGTCATCGATCAGCTGTCTCTTGCACACCCCCTACTGGGGATATGCCCCCAACCAAGGTACATGCCCCTGACCGGAATCGAACCCGGGGCCTTTCAGTCCCCAAGCCGACGCTCTATCCATTGAGCCAAACCGGTTTCGGCGCCATGACATTTATTAAATGTAAAATGTACTCAACAAATTTTTTTAAGTTAAAAAATGTTTCCTATGCAAGATGAAATTTGAAACTTAGAAAGAGTAATTTGTTCCATAAGACCAGAGGCATAGTATAGCTGAATCAGGAAACTTTACTTTTGTTTTCTTTTAGAACTTGGCACAGTCTTACATTCTTATTGAACTGATGAATGAGATCAAAGAAAATGGTACAGTACTCGAGATTTTCCCTTCGTCAGACTCTCAGATGGTAAGAAATGTAACTATCTGGATAAGAGCTCTTGTGAGATGAACCCGCGTCCCTTCAGAATGACCCTCAACCAACTGAGCCACACCAGCTCGGGCAGGGAGTTTGACTTTTGTTGAGTAAAATGTCTAGGGCTCCTGTTTTGTAGTTACTGGTGTCATATGCTTAAAAATAGCATTTTTGTTTTTTAAAGATAGATTACTTTTATTTATTTATTTATTTAAAAAATTATTTTATTGATTTTTTACAGAGAGGAAGAGAGAGGGATTGAGAGTTAGAAACATCAATGAGAGAGAATCATCAATCAGCTGCCTCCTGCACACCCCCCACCGGGGATGTGCCCGCAACCAATGTACATGCCCTTGACCGGAATCGAACCCGGGACCTTTCAGTCCACAGGCCGACGCTCTATCCACTGAGCCAAACCGGTTTCGGCTAACGATAGATTACTTTTAATAGTGAACATCTAAGGTTTTTTTTGAAGCCTAATCTGATTATAGGTTTTTAAGCTTATGAACCCATGGTTTATGTTCTCCCTCAGTGCATCAAGTAGTAAACCCACCTTGTTCAACTGCAGGTGTGTTCCTGGTTGTCTTTGGCTGGAGGACATTAACATTGGTAATGATTAGCAATTGAGTGTGTATGTGTGTGTGTTTGTGTGTGTGTGTGTGTGTATGTGTGTGTGTTTTAGAAGAAGAAAGAATGAATGAATAGTTCATTATATGGTTTTCAAAAATACTTAAGAAAGTTCTAAAATTTCTTAGCCCACTTTAGTAGTCTAAGATTTTTTTCTTCCAAGGAGACAGTTTTGAAAGACAATATTATTGAAAAATCAGACTATAAATTCATTGCCAGTTCAGCCCCTTAACATTTTTTATGATAGATCCCAATGCCCTCTTCTAAAGCAAGGTGAGTTCTGGCCAGGATGGCTCAGCTGTTTGGAGTGTAATCCCCATCCCCATGCACCAAAAGGGGGTGGGTTCAATTCCAGGTCAGGTCACATACCCAGGTTGCAGTTATCCTGGAAGATAACATGCTATAATGTTCAAGGATTATATTTGGGATCTGCTTTTTTACTCATTATGCGTAACGGGAGGGGTGTTACTGGGAAAATAACATTTTAGAAAATAAAACATGGGATAGGAATTCTAGAATAAAGTGCATTGATCCTTCACCAGTTTAAGCTACTTTTGCCCAGCTTTTTGTCTCCCTCCTTTAAAAGAGAGGGAGATGATATACCAATTTCCCCCATTCCTTATTTAACAGTAAAATATTTTGGGGAAAGAAGGGTATGGAGTTTTACTAATATAAATACAATCTATGATTATTTGTGAAAATGTACAAATATCAAGTAGATGAAGAATTTTACTTCTAGGAGAGCACATTAAGGGACAGTTATAAGCAACTAAAAATTGGTGATTTCATTCTTAAGCTAATAGTTTTATTAAGTACAAGTAAAGGGCAGATGATATGAGAATACCTGTGTTTTCAAGATAAAGCATTTCTAATTTTCATTTTTATATTATAAATGAAGGACTAAAGTTTCTTAATACAGTTGAGGGAATTTAGTTGTCATCACTGAAACAAAATAGAAATGTCTGATTTAAAATAATACATATTTCTGACAAAGCGTTAATCATGTTTTTAAAGGATCCATTAACAGTGGAACTTTCAAGCCCTGGACCACTGACCTCAGCCTTGGTCCTGTTTCTTCATAGCATGAAGGAGACTGACAGAGGATCCCTGTCTCCTAAAGCTCTCTTCAGTCAGCTCTGTCAGAAGTGAGTGCACCTACATTGTTAATATAAGTAATCATAAGTTACAAGATGCTATTGTTTATACTTAATAAGAGTACTTTCAGTCCTACTGTAACACTAGAGGCCTGGTGCATGAAATTCGTGCACTGGGGTGGGGGTGTTCCTCAGCTCAGCTTGCATCCTCTCTAATCTGGGACCCCTTCAGGGATGTCTGACTGCCCTCTCACAATCCAGGACTGCTGGCTCCCAACTGCTCACCTGCTTGCCTTCCTGATTGCCCCTAACTGCTTCTGCCTGCCAGCCTGATCACCCCCTAACTGCTCCTCTGCCAGCCTGATCGATGCCTAACTGCTCCCCTACTGGCCTGATTGCCCCCAACTGCCTTCCCCTGTCAGCCCAATTGCCCTCAACTGCCCTCCCGTGCCATCCTGGTTACTTCTAACTGCCCTCCCCTGCTTACCTGGTCACCCCTAGCTGCCCTCCCCTGTTGGGCTGGTTGCCTCTAACTGGCCTCCACTGCTGGCCATCTTGTGGTGACCATCTTGTGACCACATGGGGTGGCCATCTTGTGACCACATGGGGGCGGCCATCTTTTGCAAGGGTGTGATGGTCAATTTGCATATTACCTCTTTATTATATAGGATTGCTATTATTGCCTAGATATCGGGTCTAGTAATACTTAATGTCGTTTTTAACATTCGTTTAAAATCTTGCTTGGCGTTGACTTGTATTGACATAACCTTCAAACACGTGGTATCTACAGAACGTGTGAAGTGCAATTAACAAGTTTTGCTTGAAAAAGTTTGTGTTTGGTTTGGTTTTTGTTGCAAAACTAGGGCTAAGAAGATGGCGGATGAAGAGCATATTCGGCACTGCATGCTTTACGAGTTCCAATTAGGAAGAAAAGCAAGTGAGGCTGCAAAAAACATCTGTAGTGCTCTTGGTCAAGATGCAGTTAGCGCCAGAAAATGCCAGCATTGGTTTGAGAAATTTCGCGAGGGAAATTTTTCGTTAGATGACAAGAGTGGTCGAGGCCGTGTGTCCAATTTTGATCAAGAAGCTCTTCAAGCTCTTTTGGTGCAAAATCCTCAAATTACCCAACAAGAGCTTGCGACAACTTTAACTTGTTCACAAGAAACAATTTCCAATCAATTGCGTGCACTTGGCAAAGTCCAAAAGTTTGGAAAATGGTTTCCTCATGAGTTGACCGACAACAACCGTAATCAAAGAGTCACAATTTGCAGTTCGCTCCTCTCTCGTCAAAACCGTTTGCCGTTTTTAGAGCAAATTGTTACCGGAGATGAAAAATGGGAGCTGTATGTTAATTTGAAAAGGCGGCCTCAATGGTTGGACAAAAATGAGGCTCCGCAGCCTACGCCAAAACCTGACTTGCATGCGAAAAAAGTGATGTTGTGTGTTTGGTGGAATTTTAAAGGAATTCTTCATTATGAACTTTTACCATCTAACCAAACCATTACAAGTGCAGTGTATAGTGCCCAATTGGAAAGGTTAGCCCAAGCTTTAAGAGAAAAAGAACCCGCGCTGATTAATCAGAAGGGCGTAATTCTTCACCACGATAACGCACGACCGCATACTGCAAGAATCACTGCTGAAAACCTGCGCCAGTTAGAATGGGAAGTTCTCCCTCAACCTGCATATTCTCCTGACATTGCCCCTTCTGATTACCATTTGTTTCGTTCTTTGCAAAACTTTCTTCTTGGAAAAAAATTTAATAATGAAGAATGCCTCAAAAATGCATTGACCGAATTTTTTGCATCAAAATCACAAGAATTTTACAACAGAGGGATTAAAATGCTTCCTGAGCGTTGGGCACAAGTAGTAGAAAACAATGGCAACTATATTGTTGATTAAATTTTGTTGTATTGTTTAAATAAATTCGATTTAAAAAAGTATTAGAAAACGACATTAATTATTACTAGACCTAATACCAAGAAGAAGAATTAATATTGTTTAGTTGCAGCTCTGTGGTCTATGGAAATTATATCATTTTAAATATATATATATATATATATATATATTTTATTGATTTCAGAGAGGAAGGGAGGAAAGTGAAATAGAATAATTGATGGGCCGCCTCCTGCACACCCCACACTGGGGATTGAGCTCGCAACCTGGGCAAGTGCCCTGACCCAGAATCGAACCATGACCTCCTGGTTCATTGGTTGATGCTCAACCACTAAGCCAGCCAGCAGGACTGGGAAATTATATCTTATAAAACTCTGAAGAAGTGATTATTTATTCCCATCTTATATGTAAGGAAACTGACTCATAGTATTTGAGTACTTTACCCCATTTCATGTGACAAAGCCAGGATTCACTTAGATGTCTGTTTTAACTCGGAAGCCCATGATTATGTCCATCCTATGGACACAAACAATAGGATGGTGAAGGCCTTGAACTGGGTTGGGATCAAGTAAAAGGGGCAATAGAGGGGTAAAAGGGGACATCTATAATACTCACAATAATAAAGATTTTTTTTTTAAAGAAAAAGAAGCCCATCATGTAACACAATAAAATACGAAAATTAGAGAATTGTAAGATCTTAAAAGGTGCTATAATAGATCATCTAATCTAATTTCTTTATCTTAAAAGATGAGCTTTGAGGCAAATAGTTTAAGTGAATTTCTCAAGATGTTACAAAATGTTTAAAAATAAAATGTTTGCTCGGCTGGCATGGCTCAGTGGTTGAGCCTCAATCTATGAACCAGAAGGTCATGGCTCGTTTCCCCATCAGGGCACATGCCTATGTTGGGGGCTCGATCGTGCAGGAGGCAGCTGATCAATGATTCTCATCATTGATGTTTCTATCTTTCTCTCCCTCTCACATCCTGTTTTATTGAAACAATAAAAATAACTTAAATATATACATACATATATATACATACACACACACACACACACACACACACACACACACACATATATATATATATATATATATATATATATATATATATATATATAAGCCTAAGCGACTGAACCACTGTTTCACCATTTGACCAGTAGCTATGATGTGCATTGACCACCAGGGGGCAGGCGCTTAATGCACAGGCATGGAAACATGGAACAGACTGATGAATCTCAGAGGGAAGGGGGAAGAGAGAATGGGGAAAGCCGGGAAGAGATTAACCAAAGATCTTATATGCATACTAGAGGCCCAGTGCCCGGATTTGTGCATCGGTGGGGTCCCTTGGCCTGACCTGTGGGGATCTGGCTGAAACCAGCAGTCCAACATCCCCCGAGGGTTCCTGGATTGTGAGAGAGCACAGGCCAGGCCAAAGGACCCCACCAGTGCATGAATTTGTGCACTGGGCCTCTAATATATATATATATATACACAAAATATTTGAGTGCTTGGAAATAAACACATGCCATAAAGGTCATAACTTAACTTTAATGTATGTACTTATTCCTACATCTAGAAAATAGAGAACTTACTCCGTTGTCAGTAAAGAAGTAAATTGAATCTTTGGCTATATGTTATTGTAACGTGATTTGAATATTAGTAATATATTGTTGATGAAATGGTCTTTTTTTCTTTCCTGCTGTTTTTAAATCATAGGGCCCCCCGATTCAAAGATTTTCAGCAACAGGACAGTCAGGAGCTCCTGCATTATCTGCTGGATTCAGTGAGGACTGAAGAAACAAAGGTCGGGTTTCTTTATGTTTATCACACATATTCTTTAAGAAAAGGGTACAAAACTGAAGGATTTCATTTCTACTATAATTTTTATGTGCAGTTAGGAGGTTAACTTGATTTCTTTCTTACTATTCTATTTCTTCTTTCTCTCTCTCTCTCTCTCTTTTTTTTTTTTTTTTTTTTTTTACCATTCTATAAGGTTACCGTATTTTCTGGCGTATAAGACGACCCCCTAATTTTTTTTTTTTTTTATATTCACTGTATAAGACTACCCCCCACTTCAAAGAAAAGACTTACTTTGTCGTCAAGATCTGCAGGTAATTTTTGTGCAATTTTGGTCTTTTGCCCCCGATTTTTGGTTGACTTTTTTTCGTTTCAAAAGTCATCTTATACGCCGGAAAATACGGTATTTTCTTTCACTCTGTCACAAGCCCTATTCTTTATTAGTTAATGTTCTTTGGCTATAATGAACAGAAATCAATTAAAACTAGCTTAAATAAAGGAAATGGATCTAAGAGTCCAGGTGAAGGGGGATATAGCTGGGATTGTTTACTACATGATAGTTATGAATCATTGTAAATGGAATTAAAATTTATGTCTTTACATTGTTTTTCTCTGTCATTATCACAAATAAAACAACAAAATCCATCCCTATCATTTATTCTATTTCCCTTCTATTACTTGATTAGAGGCCCGGTGCACAAAATTTGTGCCTGGGTGCGGTCCCTAGGCCTGGCCAGCAATTGAAGCGTGAGTGTCTGGTGTGGAAGGGCAGGTTCACCTGGGCTCTGGGCAGCACCTCAGCACCTGCTCGCACCCAGCTTAGCCTGGCGCTGCCCACTCACCTGCTCCACCATCCCACTGCAGTCCTGCTCTCATTAGGGCGTGTTGGGGCTGGCAGTGCTTCCACTGCCACCCACTGCCAGTGCCACATCGCTGACACCCACCATGTTCTCCGCCACCCTGTGATGGTCAGCGCATGTCATAGTGAGAGGTCCAATGATCACCGAGGGGACAATTTGCATATTAGGCTTTTATTAATATACGGTAGGATGGCCTTCTTTGTTTCAAATTAAATTACTGTTTTGTCAAAATGGTACAGTATCTTAAAAACTCAGGCAAAATAGCAAAAAACATTGGTTTTTTTTGCTCTCATCTTTCTTCCTCTTTGTGAGGGTTTTAGACGGCGTGGCAAAATTAAAATGTCAAGTGTGTGGATCTGCTCAGTCCTGTGAGCAAGGCCAGTCCGTTACAGTGGTACCCAGGCAGGAGCTGCATTGTCTGGCCTGGGAACCCACAGCTGTTAGTTGTGTTGCTGTTGTCGTTTGCCACTGCCTTGTGTTTTTTAATTGAGGAAAGGCTACACCGTTAGGTCTGCCACCAGAATCTTTTAGTAATGATTACAAACTACTGATCTCCTTTCATATTGTTTCATCAAAGTCTTTTTCTTACAATTATAAAGGTCAGGACTATCACATACTCTTATTAAATGGACCACTAAAGGGATCATTTGTGCAAAAGCTCGTAAATTTTTATGTGCAAATAAAATCAAATTTACTATAAGAATTTCTTTTATAATCAGCCTTTTCAAGTTACAAATATATATGCTTCACTTTTCCCCTTTTAATTTGAGCTATCATTAAAGAAATGTTATCTTTTTATTATCTTTTCAAAGACATACTACTTTAATACATTATTGGATAGGATTTTTAAAAGGCACAATACTTCAGCTAACTAAACTAAGTTTTTTTTGCATTCTTATTTTTAAAAGAAATTTAAAATGGAGACTTAGTTGAACTTGGGTAGTGCTAGTTGATTAATATGCTGCAATTGTTAGTAGCTCCATGACCCAAATCTTTTTTTAACCTAAATGGTTCAAAGCATGACTTTTAATAATGAGAGGTTGTGGATGGATCTAAACTCACTTATTTTATTCAACTTGTTAGTTAACTCTTTAACAGTATAGAGCAGAGAATATACATTTATGGCTAGGATACAATAAAAACAAAACAAGTCTAATACTTTAAAAGTTAATTTAATCAACTTCATTGTATTTTTTACTTTTTTATATTTTTAAAAAGTAATATAGCTTACATTTTAAAAAATAGTAAAAGCTCATTAAATCATATTGCAATTCATTTCAAAATTAGTAAAATATTCAAGTTGGAAAACAAACATACAGACTTCTAATTGAGTTAAAGGTCTATTTCTAGTAACTAGAGCCTTTTTACAGTTATATTAAATAATTACAGGTGAACATTGGTATTTATTGGAATCTTTCATTTATAGCCATTAAATATTTCTCCTGCATGGACTTCACACCATTCTAATTTATTTTAGTTAAAGAAATTATTTTTTTCATAGGTAAGTCAACGTTAGCTTAGACAGTATCTGAATTATATCATTTTATACCAGGAAGTCCAGATCAAACAATAGTTTCACATATGAAAACCTGTGATTAAGACATTACTTAAAAAAATATTTTGAAGAATAATGAACAAACATTCTTTTCACCCCATTATTAAAATGTGAGTTAGAGAAGATTAAATTTATCCATTAATTAGGGCATACTTAGTATAAAAGATGATCCATTAGCTTAGATGCACTTTTATTTTTAGAATATATAGTTTTAATTTATTCTAAAAATTTTCTGTGAGGTTGGATGTTTCCTAAAACATACAGAAGAGATGTGGAAACATAAACTTTGAGGACATTAATTGATATTCTGGACTTGAGTCTTATATTTATATAAATAAAATAATCTGTGTGGAAGCCAATGTGAGTTTAAGAGCTTCTTATATATTAAGGTTTTCTTCATAGACAAGAAATTTCATATGGTTTATTTGTTACATTTTGTCCTGATTAAGAACTACATAATTTTTAGGGATAGAGTGGGACAGAGGGAGGAGAGGGAGACAAATGAAGAGAAAAGGGGAGAGAAGGGAAAAGTGGGACGAGTTACTCTAAACCTGTAAGAATGATGAGACTAGGCTGCTTGCTTGTTGTAGACTGAAAAACACCTTTGAACCCAAGAGAGAACCTAAACATAGGAACTTTTCTGTAATTCCATATTCTCTCCCAAGTAAGAAAATTGTTCATTCGTGGAATTTTAGGACCAGATTTAATTTTTAAAAATTCAGTCATTTTATTTTATAGACTAAGGAACTGAGATTCAGTGTACCTTGCTGTTTGAAAGTCTCTCTCTTATTAAGATGAGGCCAGAGTTAACTGTTACTAAAACAGATGATATTTAAAAGAACACAGAATACTGCTTTAAAATAATAGATTTTAATAAATTCTTATTAACTTTGTTTTATAGAGAATACAAGCTAGCATTCTAAAAGCATTTAACAATCCAACAACTAAAACTGCTGATGATGAAACTAGGAAAAAAGTCAAAGGTATGTTGACTCTCTCACTGTTAAAATTTTATTCTACAGGAAAGTATTTAAAGTTTCTTTCCAGGGGGAAAAGAACTGAGCATTATGTGAATGAATGCTGTAAAGCAGATGCCTTAAAATGAAGGTATACTTATTCTAGTGGCTGCAAGATAGTCTAGTGGGTCATAGAAAGAAAAAGTTAGAATTTATCCATGTGAATTAAAAAAATAAAAGTAATATCACATATACACATTGACACTATTGCCCTTAATAGGAGGTTCTAAGGGAGACGAGAAAGGTGGCTGAAGGTAGCATCCTTATTTGGAAGTTTAATTTTATCATATTGGTCTATTTTGCGGTTGAGGTGTGCTTGGATGAGCGAACTCATGGATATTACCTAAATCTAACTTGACAAGGCTTAAGTGCCGCAAAGATTCCTGCAAGGAAACGTTTATTGAGGGAGTACTGACAGGTCAAGGGCACATGTCTACTTTACTCCTAGTGTTATCTCTTCCTCAGCCAAAATGTGAGGCAAAAACATGATTATCTAATCAAAGTGGTCACATAAGTATTTAAGTGTGGGTTTATAGTGTATGTTATTAGTGATTTACCACGTCCTAAATGTGTATTCTGTCTTGAGATGTTAACTAATGGTAGTATAAAGGCATCATTTTTAGTAGACACTAAAAATATTATTTGTATTTTATTCATTCTCTTTTCTAACTTTTACTTTTCTTAGTATTATTTGCACAGCCTATAGATCTATATAAACAAATATATGTTGTGATTATATATGCCGAATTTTATATGCAGTTTTAAGGGTTCAGGTATTTTTAAATGTAGATTTTCAAGCATGTTCTTTTGTTTTGAGATAGTGCCATCTAGAGCATGTTTAGAATAACTGCCCAGTCTTTCTTTCCAGTTTTGTAATCTTTTCTATTAACCCCTTGTACAATTTTTCTTAATGAAACATCTTAGTTTACTATAATGTCTCAAATATAATTAATAAATGTTTATTTATATAGCCCAATATGTCCGCTCTGTCAGAAAAATTGCAGAAAATACAATGTTTTAGAAGGTAGAGACCTAAAAAAATATAGAAGTGAATAGGTTTGTTAATATATTTCTCCCCGTGTTTACTGTGGAAAATGTCAAACTTCTGTTAAGTGGAGGGAATAGTATATGAAGCTCCATGTATCCATGTACTCATCACCCTAATTATTACATTCAATTCCTAGAGTATAATGTTTCTTCTATTTTCTCCCAACTCCAGATTATTTTGAAGCAAATTATAGGCATAATTTTCCTTGATATATAAATACTAGAGGCTTGATGCATGAAATTCGTGCAAGAGTAGACCTTCCTTCCTCTGGCTGCTGGGACCAGCTTTCCTGAAGCCCTGGCTTCATCCGGAAGGTCCTCTGGTCTAATTAGCATATTATGCTTTTATTATTATAGATTTTTCAAACAGAATAATTCTGACAATTTTAATATAACTGAGCAGTTATGCATGTGACTGAGTTATTTATTGCCATATTAATTCTTTTATTTTTTATTTTTTGAAAGATTTATTTTATTGTTTAAAGTATTACTAATAGTAGTACATATGTCTCCTTTTTTCCCCCATTGACCTTCCTCTGGCCTCCCACACCCCACAGCACATGCCCTCACCCACCATATTAATTCTTTACACTATGCTGTGTTTACTTGTCTTTTATACTCTGTTATTTCCATAGTTGGGGTCCTAGCATCTGTAGCCCTAAAAGCATAGTCTCCTTTCCCATCCCTCTACCCTGGGTCAGGCACAGAGGCTTTAAAGAATTTAATGGGAGCAGTTGAGATGTAATATGAGTCGTAGTTACTGCTACTTTTATTTTACCTTACGAACAGTTATTTCTGAAAATACTATCATTGCTAGTCACATTTTCTCTACAGAACTGTAAAGGAGAGAGATTATAATGCCATATAGGAGAATACATTATTAAATGTAGCACTGGACATCTGCCTTAGATTTCTTTTGAATCAACAGAGAAAAAAAACAAAACAACAACCATGTTACAATGTAATGTTGATGGTTGACATGTTTTTGCATTAAAAAGTATTATTTTTACAGCATATGGAAGCGAAGGTGTGAAAATGAACTTCATAGATCGGATCTTTATTGGTGAATTAACTAGCACCCTCATGTGTGAAGAATGTGCAAAAGTAGGTACTTTGAAATTCACTTTTGCATGGACTAGATTACAATCCCAGCTTTTTGATTATTTTCTTTCACATATAATCTTCAGCTGTCATTTACTTTTATTTGTGACTAATAGTTTTTGGAAATCTTCTAAAAACATATCCTTCACTCTTAGAAAGTAAACATAATCTATAATGTTTAAAAATAAATGTGTTATTTTATTTTTCCTCCCAAAAAACCTGTGAAGTTCTGTTAGGTCATTTTAATATGTTTGAATGTGTAAGCTACTTGTTAGTTGGAAATAAAATATAGTTCTGTGAAGAGAATAGCTATATTATGTAACTATGTATGCATGACCCTAAAATGTAATTCTATTAGAAATAATTTAATGTATTAACATAACCCAGGATGATCTAGCACATTGGATTTAAAGTTTATTTTTTATGACTTGAAGTTTATTTCATTTTATTTGATTAAGTAGACTTGACTCATCTTTGAATTAGTGATTCTTTTTATTTGGTGGAATGCAATGCCATCTGTTCTTTTACAATTTAAAGGCTTATAAATTTTTATAGGCTTTCAATTGCTTGATAAGGAATACTTCTGAAACCGGATAACTTGGATTATGATGGGTTTATACTTTTGTCAGATTTTCTTATAAAAGAAAGAGTCTTTATGTACATTTTGTTGTTCCAGACTATGGATTATTTTTCTATCTTCTCTAGTTTTATTCAATTAGAATTACATATTATATCTCCTAATCTGTCGCATTGAAGCACAGACTGTGTCAGAGTATTACTTACTTCTGTAGTATATTTTACATAAAAGTTGATTTCTCTCTCACAAGCCAGAGGGTATCTTTTAGAATTACCCTAAAGAATCCACAAAACACAAACTTTCTGCCTTTTTCATATTTTATGTTATAGCACTAATTTCACCAAAAATAATTTTATGTTTTTAGTTAATCATTATTATTAAACATATTTTATTTAAAAGTTACTTTAAACATTACTGATATTATGATAGTGACAACATAAAATTCAACAGGGCTGCATTTATTAGTTTTTAGATATTTTGTTTTGATTAACAATACCTGCTGCTCTACCCAGTTAAATTGCTGTTTGTTTCAGGAATATTTTTTTTTATTAAGGTATTATATGTGTACATATCTTACCATTGCCCTCCCCCCCACTCCTATACATGCCCTCCCTCCCCAGAGTTTTTTGTTCATTGGTTTTGCTTATATGCATGCATACAAATCCTTCATTTGATCTCTTATCTCCCCCATATCTCCCCGCTGTAATTTGACAGTCTGTTTGTTGCTTTACTGTCTCTGTATCTATCTTTTTGTTCATCAGTTTATATCCAGGAATGTTTTTTTAACTTAAAATTTTAAGTTGCCTGGGACATTTGATTTCTCTAAGCCTTTACAAAACTACATTGTCTATATTAGAATTCTACCTGAAGTTCTCAATATGGTGTTTTTTTTTTTCTTTTAAGATCTCCACAGTGAAAGATCCTTTCATTGATATTTCACTTCCTATAATAGAAGAAAGGGTAAGGAGAAAAAAAACCTTAAGTCTTTTGTGAAGGATATTCATTTTATTTAGACATTTATTGAATATGTTATCTGATCTGAGAATCATTATTTTTTTTATATATAATAGTTGAGTTTATACAGTTAATATTGGGGTTTGTGTATGCATGCATAATGTATGAGATCATTCTTATTCTCAAGGAATTTAAATCCTTTTGCTATATATTTCGAAAGTTAAAGTTAAGGAAATTATATTTCAAATGAGTTACAAATTTTAAAAAGTAGATTACGTCCAGAATTTATTTCCTAAGGAAGTTTTGTGTTATGTACATGTCATCTATATAGGTTTCAAAGCCTGTATTATGGGGAAGAATTAGTAAATATAGAATTTTACAGGAGACACAGAATGGCCAATATAGTGGCCCTGTTATTGATACTATAGAAAATAATCACCAACCTAGAGACACCAGGAAGCAGTCTCCATCTATAGATAAGGTAAGACGATGTGTATTTGTGAGGCATCTGCTTTTTTATACTTATTATTATGAAAAATTTAAAAAATATACAGAAATAGAGAAAATAGTATGATAAACTTCCATGTAAGTAGTTCTCAACTTTATAGTTATCAGCTCATGGCTAATCAGATTTTATCTATATCTTATATTCTCCCCACCTCTCCCAAATTATTTTGGAATAAATCCCAAATATATCACATATTTCAGTATGGAGATCAAATAGATACTCTTTAAAATATGTAACCACAGTACCATTATCATACCTAAAATATTAATAACTTTGTAATAGCACCAATATCTAGTCATTATTTAAATTTCTGTAACTGTCTCATAAATACTTGTTTTTTGGTTTTGCTTTTTAAAGTCTATTTGAATTCAAGATCTAAAAAAAGAGCTATGGAGTGCATTTGATTTCATGCCTCTTCAATATCTGTGCTGTTCGCACAAGTCCTCTTCTCTTCTCCATAAATAGATTTCTGTTGTTGATTTCTTGTGTAAAAGTTTATTTTTAAATTAGAACGATTTGTTAGTATATCTTCTATTGGTTATAGTTTATGTAGATATAGGAAGGGATTTAGATATACTAGAAATACTAGAGTATTTATTTAATAATTGTGGGACATTTAATTACTAGCATTTATTTTCAGTAAAGTCACAAGATTCTTTTCTCTAAAAACATTGTCAACTTACAGAGTCAGCTAATTCATGGCAGAAAACGTGCAAGGAAATTTTCATCTGGAGATGATAAAACTGTTGACATGTCCCTGAAAAATGGAAACAAGGAAGTGAATGGGGATGCCTCAGCATTTGCAAAAATCATGAATACTGACTCGAATCTGGCTGAAAACCCTACTGATGGTAGTGAAAAGGAAGCTAGCCATTGTGAAAGTGGTGTTGATGCTGACAGTGAGGCCTCAGAATCAGAAAGTGCTTCTAGGCAAACTCTGTTGCCGAGATCCTGTAGTGGATGCTATGTGCACACAAATGGACATCACCATCCATCAGCAAGAGAACTGCCCACCAAGAAGACTGATAGTGATGATGGAGGAATGGCTAAAGTTATATCTGAACTTCATTTAAACAGCACTGTTCCTGGAGATAGAGATTTCGCTGGAGAAAATCAGCCACTTAATCTTCCAAATAATTTATATTTTCCAGAGGAAAAGCATACAATGTCTCATAGTCCACAAAATGCTTTTCAGACCCTTTCTCAGAGCTATATAACTACTTCTAAAGAATGTTCAATTCAGTCTTGTCTCTACCAGTTTACATCTATGGAGTTATTAATGGGGAATAACAAGCTTCTATGTGAGAATTGTACTGAAAAGAAACAGAAGTACCAAAGGGAAACCAGTTCTGTAGGTAAATGTTTAGCTTTATTTTTTATTAATGGATTATCTGATAGTCAGTGACTAGTTGGCATTAGATCCCAAAGAGAAGAACCTAAGAACCTGTCTCTATACTTGAGCTGCTTGAGGGCAGGGATTGCCTTTTTCGTATTTGTATATTTGTACTTTAGCGCTGCAGACACTGACTGGGCAGAATGAATGTTCAATAGATTTTTGTTGAAATAAATTAAAGAACAGGAATTATCCATCTCTGCCCTGAAAATGCAAATCCACATAATCTTATTTCAGCGGACTAGCTACCTGAAATCTTTCCAGAAGAACTTTCTCTAAAACTTAAAATTTTATGATGAGATTAATATGATTCCCAAATTCCATTAATCTAATATCTTACCTAATAATAGACAAACAAGCTAAGTGACTGTACCTTCGTGACGCACACAGCCAATTAGGAGTGAGTATGCAAATTAACCTAACAAAGATGATAGTTCATTTGCATACCTGGCCGCTTTGGGCCTCTGAGCAGAGTAGGAAGGTCGAAAGGCAGCTCCGGCCAGAGCGAAAGCGATGCCAGCAGCCAGGTAAAGGAAGGCCCATTCTGGAACGAATCTTCTAGTTTATATATAAAAGCCTGAGCAACCGTTCAACCGGTAATTATGCGCACACTGACCACCATGGGGCAGACACTTCACACACAGGCATGGAAACATGGAACAGACTGATGACTCTCAGAGGGGATGGGGGGAAGAGATTAACCAAAGATCTTATATGCATATATATAAAAGCCTAAGCAACCATTCAACCAGTAGCAATGATGCGCACTGATTACCAGGGGGCAGACACTCCACACACAGGCATGGAAACTTGGAACAGACTAATGAATCTCAGAGGGGGGGCGGGAAGAGATTAACCAGAGATCTTATATTGCGTACTAGAAGTGCATGAATTTATGCACCGGTGGGGTCCCTTGGCCTGGCCTGCAGAGATTGGGCCAAAACCAGCAGTCTGACATCCCCCAAGGGGTTCCAGATTGAGAGAGGGTACCGGCCAGGCCACGGGACCCCACTGGTGCACAAATCCGTGCACCTGGCTTCTAGTGAAGTCATAACCTATACTAATAAAAGGGTAATATGCTAATTAGACTGGATAGACTGGATGTCTTCCAGACAAAGCTACAGTGGTGGGGGCCAAGGTAGAGGCGGTTAGGGGTGATCAGACAGTCAAGGAAGCAGTTAGGGGCGATCATGCAGGCAGGCAGGTGAACAGTTAGGAGCAAGTGGTCCCGGATTGTGAGAGGGATGTTTGACTGCTGGTTTAGGCCCCACAGGGATCGGGCCTATACAGCAGTTGGACATCCTCCAAAGGGTCCTGAATTGGAGAGGATGCAGGCTGGGCTGAGGACCCTTCCTCCTCTCCCCCGCACCCTCGTGCACAAATTTTGTGCACTGGGCCTCTAGTAAGATATAAATTTGAAGTTTTTAAATAATTGTATATTATAAAACTAGCAATATTTATTATAGTTGCCTGGGAATATCTATATTTAGTTGCCTGGGAAAAGGGGGGACTTGTCAAGAAATTTTTAGTGTACCTCTAGCCTTGACTAAATGGAGAGAATACTCATTCCTAGTGACTACTTTTATTCAAAATATAGATTTTATTTTTATTCAGGAATTGTGAGGCCAACAGATCAGGATATGGTTATCACTGAGGATGCTTTGTTTCTTACAGTTCCCAAGAAGAGAGGGCACATGTGAAAGCACCAAGGTTAGGCAGGAAGCAGAGACAGCCAGGGGGAAACTAGGGCAAGAGATTTTATTGTGGTTTCCAAGGGAAAGAATAGGAAAGGCATGATAAACAGGCTTAAGACTGACTAGTTTTGAATTTAGTGGGCCCTGGGTTATAGGGCCTGTCGCTCGTTGTCTAGAACTTGGCCATGGTAGGATTAGAGCAAGTGGATTGCAGGCTAGGTAAAGGGAGATAGTTGGGATGTATGTTTTGGATTGGTTGGTTTGCATATAAAAGAAGCATTTAATATTTACTATCTCTAGCAATTAGCTCTGGGAAAGGCCTTCCTTCCAGTGTCAGCAAGACCCCAGCTGTCAAAACATCAGAACAGTCCTAACCAGTTTGGCTCAGTGGATAGAGCGTCGGCCTGTAGACGGAAGGGTCCCAGGTTTGATTCCAGTTAAGGGCATGTATGTTGGTTGTGGGCACATCCCCAGTAGGGGATGTGCAGGAGGCAGCTGATTGATGTTTCTAACTCTATCCCTCTCCCTTCCTCTCTGTAAAAATCAATAAAATATCTTAAAAAAACACACACACATCAGAACAAAGATGTGTTTAATACACTAGTAATTAAGAAAATATCTAAATGGGAGAAGGAAGAAATACCAGTTTATATTAACCCAAGTTAAATATGCCATTGGTCATATTCAAATTCAGTCCTGTAACTACCACCAAGGTATAAAACATTTTCATTGCCCCAGAATGTTTTCTTGTGCTCCTTTGTAGCTAATCTCCTCTCCCATTCCCTAATCCCTGCATTTACTAATCTGATTCTTCTCCCAATAGTTTTGCCTTCTCCAGGATATCATAAAAAATGGATAATATAATATACAGGCTTCTGTCTCTAGCCTCTTTGCCACATAATGCTTTGAGATTCATCCCTATAGCTACACATATTAATAGTTAATTCTATTTTCTTTTTTAATATTTTAAAAAATGTGATGCTTCTATATAAATGTTGACTGTTATATGGTAGATTCCATTGGTATGAAATAGAATCTTACAAATAAATTTATTATATTTTATACAGAAAAGAAAGCAGAAGGGGTTTATACTAATGCCAGGAAGCAGTTGCTTATTTCTGCTGTTCCAGTTATCCTAATACTCCACCTTAAAAGATTCCATCAGGTAAAAGTTCCTTTAGTAGCACTAGAGTAATTTCCATCAGATGTTTTATAGAGCCCTAAATCTTGTAAAATACTGTCAAGGATTAGGCACTAATTTACTGAATTTAAATATTTGTCATATAGGATTTACTGCTTTTTCAGCAATAATAGTTTACCAGACTTTTCTAATTAAAATAGTTTAATTCACAGTGTTTGAAGATTTAGGTGGTAGGAACCCAAATGGCATGTGTGTGTTTGTCGATGGAAAATAAGGATTTTTTAAAACCCTTGAGGTGGTGGGGAGGGATGGGGGGGAGGGCGGGAGGAACACTTGGAAGTAAAAAAAATAACAAAATGCACATACCTTTCTGAGTTCTTTTGATCCTAGTGAGAGGGCTGTGAGGTCTGGCCATGGCTGACTAGGCCCGAGTACAAAAAGGGCTAGTATAGCCGGGACCGGTTTGGCTCAATGGATAGAGTGTCAGCTTGGGGACTGAAGGGTCCCGGGTTCGATTCCGGACAAGGGCATGTACCTTGGTTGCGGGCATATCCCCAGTAGGGGGTGTGCAAGAGGCAGCTGATTGATGACTCTCTCTCATCGATGTTTCTAACTCTCTATCTCTCTCCCTTCCTCTCTGTACAAAATCAATAAAATATATTTAAAAAAAAAAGGGGGGGGGCTAGTATAAGGCAGTTTCCATTACTGTAGGACTCTACAGTGAGAACCTAAATATTTTTATTGAAGCAGATTTTTCTCCTTTTTTAGTGTGTGTATTTTTTTTTTTAAATAAGTATTTATTTTAGACAAAGAGGAAGGGAGAGGAAGAGAAAAAGACCTCCATAAGAAAGAAACATGGATCTGCTGCCTCCTACATGTCCCCTACTGGGAATCAAGCCCACAACTCAGGCATGTGCCCTGATCTGGAATGGAACCAATGACCTCTTGGTGCATGGGATGATGCTAGATCCACTGAGCCACATCGGCCAGTCTGTGTGCATTTTTAATTCAATGCTTTGACTCATTTTTTTTAATTTTATTTTTTTGCATTTGATAAAATGATTCTAACATTTCTCTGGAAGAATGAATAAGTGAAAATCAGATGGTTTTTTAAAAATTTAATCAATCTTTATTGCTCAGGTTATTACAATTGTTTCTCCTTTTCCCCCCCATAGCTCCCTTCCACCTGGTTTCCACCCCACCTTCTGCCCTTACCTCCCCCCCCTCCCATTGTCCTCATCCATAGGTGTACGATTTTAGTCCAGTTTCTTCCTGCAGCTCCCACACCCCTTCCTTTCTCTCTGAGCGCATCTCCCTACCTCAGCACTTTGCGGCTTCCCTGATCTGTGAGCCTCTCTCCTTCTTTCTAGTTGTAGATTTCCCTCTCAGCCAGCTTTTCTGTGGTTTTGGATGTTATCCGTTCTGTCTTTTAGTTGTTATTTTGAAATTGTTGTGCAAGGTGGCAGTTTAGGCACTTACCTAGGCCGCCATTTTGGTTGATCTTCAGATGATTTTTTTTAATTGTATAAAACAAGTTATCAAAAGACTTCTGTTTGGGAAGATTTTCTAAGTATAAAAGGAAAGAAATTTCAAGCACAAAGATTGGAAGCTTTGATCATATACTAGTATAGCTGCAACATTTCAGGTGGGCCATGGATGGGCAAGAAGAGATTTTCCTCTACACTTTCATCCTATTCAAAGAAAGATTATGTTAAGCTCTTGATTTTCTATAGCCAGGATTCTAGAAACTTAACAGAAATGAAATGGCCCTGTATTACAGATGTATCATTTCTCCCTCCATCAGAATGCCTGATGGAAGGTAGTTGTCTGCAGTGACTCTGTGTGAGCAAAGAGGTCATGCCAGATCTGATGGAGCTAATTGTATGATGTGCCAGTTGTTTAATATATGGTCATCGTATTCCTATTTAGAAACAAGGTACAGAAAGAATTCATGCCTTAAAGGGAAATATTTACAGACTTCTCGGTCCCTTCTTGCTCTCAGGCTAAATGTAATGTTAGCAAAGCACATTCTCATTCCCAGGATTGGGAATTTTAGGGAGCAGAATCTAGACAAAGTCTCTGTTTTTAGTATTTTTATTGTCTTTGAAAGCCTATTTCTCTGTAGTAACTTCAGAGCTGTATATGAAACATCCACAACACTGAAAGGAGAGAGGGCTTTGTCATAAATATGGCAAACGATTAGCATTGTAAATATGTAAATAGCTCTTAAAAATAAAAAATAAAAATATCAAGACCTTATTAGAAAAATGATAAAGAACATGAATTGACAGTTCATAGAAAAAGTAAAGATTCCAAGAAAATATGAAGAAAAAAGTCCATCCTTTCCAGCAAAACAAATGCAAAATAAAATGACAGCAGAATTCTTTTTTTAACCTGTTCAAATTGGCCCAGATATGGTTGTGTTAAGGATGAAGCGAGATATAAGCATTTTCTTGTTCCAACAGTGGGGGTGTAAGTTGGATACACCTAGAAAGTAATTTAATAATATAATTCAAGAACATTAAGGGATGTTTTGAATAAAACATTTTGAACAAAAGTATTACTTTTGACTAAGTAATTCCATTTCTAAGAACCTATTCCAAGGAAATGAAGATAAACGTAAAAATTTGTATCTTGATCATTATAGATCGTGCCAGCTGTGAGGCCTGGCACAGTTGTTCAATGTGCAGGATATCATATTTATATCTTAATGACATGGGAAAATTACTTCATACTCAGTTAAAAGAAAATTTTTAAAAAGACAGGAGGCTGCATATGCCCAAATATAAGCCAAGGTATTTTCCAAAACTCATCCCCTAGAAAAGAAGATTAAAGATAGTTACTAGATTTATTGGGGTAGATACCACATAAATATTCCAATAACTATGTTGTACACCTCAAACTAATATAATATTGTATGTCTACTGTTAAGTTAAAAAAAAGAGAGAGAGGTTCATCTTATATTAAAGCCCTTTATAGAATCTTTCATATTATGGGGTAGTTTTTCAACAGCAACATACTATCTGGGGAGGTCACATTAGCCTGAAAGGGTCTCTGGCAGTGTTGGTATTGAATGCTTATGGAGGTCATCTGATGAGAAAAACAAGGCCAAAAAATTGAAAACAGATTAAATAATTATTCCTGGGGCATGACCTCATAATTTCACATCAGATATCAGGTTAAGTCTTCTAGACATCACTTGAAGATACAAATCAGGAATTGGGTATATTTTGGTCAAAAAATAAGTTTTTTTTCTTTTAAAATTATGCCCTTGGAGTAAGTCATGAAAGTTTTGCATGGAAAGTTGCATCGGTTAGTTTTTGTCTACCGATTCAGATTTCTGCATTTTCTGATTCCAATAGTTTCTATTTGTGGGTTTCCTCTCCAATACCTTTGACAGTAGTATATCAGCTAGTTTTTAACTGTCATTAAGTAATGCAAAGTGTACATTTTTTCAAGTACTGCCTTTAAGAATTAAAAATAGAGAAAGGAGTAGAGCTTATTTGACAACATGAAGATTCACTTTGATTTATATAATATATAACATTTACTTTTATTGATAAAATGATTGAAATATTGAAATTCAGGCTTTTTGTTTTAAGGATTAAATATCACTGAATTTTAAAACAGAAAAGGATCTAATCTAAACCATTTATACCCATTTCTGCCTTGATGTAGATGAGGTAGCCTAGAGTCAAATTAGGTGTTAAGTCAGGGCTAGGACACCAGGCCTCTGACTCTTCAGCTGAATATCTTTTGAAATAGCTTATGAAATAGCTTAGTTTTTATCACATTGAATTTATTTTAGTGTTGAAAAGCCACACAATTTATTTTTCTCCAAGTGTTGAAAAGCCATAGTGAAAGTAATTATTCCCATATTGTTTATACTAAGAATATGCATAAAAATATATTTGCAATAACAGTTCATGAAACCTAATTAAAAATTAAAAATTTAGTCATATATCAATTTTGGATTACTCATTAATCATGTTTTTAAAGCTATGAAAAAAAATAGGATTCCCCTTTTTAGTTTTAATTAACAAACACTAATTTAGATTGAGTTTGTCACATTAAAATTTTTTTTATTTTTGGTCTTTTTAGGCTGGATCAACTCTTCGCAAAGTAAGCAGACATGTAGATTTTCCAGTTATACTTGATTTAGCACCATTCTGTTCTGCTAATTGTAAGGTGCAGTATATTATTAAAATATTTAATTGACTTGCAAATAATATGCTTAAAGTATTCTATGATTGTTTGTTGTGCCATACTTTTCTTTCTTTTATTAAAAAACTAAGCTCCTGTTCATGATTACTGGTTAGCAGTCTAAGTTTTATGGTGTATAAGAGAATACTTATTGAACTTAATATTTTTAATATATTGATCAATCAAAACAAAAATATATATATTTGACAATAAGATTTTATGATTAGGTAAAGCAACAAAAACAAAAATGTCTTAAATGCAATTTTTTAGTGAATCCAATTCATCTGTGGAATATCAGCACTATCTGTCTGTTATTAACACTCAGTATTAGAATTTGATAATACCTTAAAAAATCAGACTTAACAAGCTCTGTATCAAATTTCTGAAAACATATTTTTGAAAGTATCTATTATGGAGAATTTCCAACACATAGAGAATTAGACAAGACAGACAATGAATCTTTCGCACCCATCACCTCGCCTTAAAACTTCGGATACATGGCCAGTCCTGCCCATCCACAAACTCATCTCCCACCCCTATTTTATTTTAAAGCATCATTTCATTCATAAATATTTCACTATATATTTCCAAAAGATAAGAATCACTCCTCCTTTTTAACATAACCACAATACCACTTTTACACTAAACCAAATAAACAATTTCTTCATATCATCTAGAGCCTATATTTCTAATTATATTGTAAATGAAAAATCTTAAATGAATTTCTATCCAACTAAAGACTACACATTATAATTGGATAATGTCTTTTAGTCTCTTTTAATATCAGTTCCCTCTCTCCCATCTCTCTTCCCTTCTCTCCCCTCTTTGTAATTTATTTGTTGAAGAAACTAGACCATCTTTCATGTAGTTTCCCAAAATTTAGATTTTAATGACTATCCCTCTATCCTCTTTATTTATTTTTTAAATATGTATTTTTTATTGATTTCAGAAAGGAAGGGACAGGGTGAGAGAGATAGAAACATCAATGATGAGAGAGAACATTGATTGACTGCCTCCTGCATGCCCCCTACTGGGGATCAAGCCTGCATCCCGGGCATGTGCCTTGACTGGGATCGAACCAGAGACCCGTTAGTCAGCAGGCTGATGCTCTATTCATTGACCCAAACTGGCTAGGGCTCTCCTCTTTTTTTTACTACAAGTAGGCAGTTGGATAGTTGGATCTGGAGAAGCCTGAACAGATTCAGGTTTGATATTTCTTATTTATTTTTTTCTGGCAAGTCTATTTCATGGGGAGTATTTAGTCAGGTGGCCCAGAATGACAATTATATTTTTGTGATAGTGGCCAATGATGCTCAATGTTAGATTATGAGTTCATTAAGAATTACAGAATGGTGATATTCTAATTTTCTCATTCCTTCTTCATTAACTAGATAACCTTTATATAAAGAGGTATTCCTTTCATCTATTTAGTCATCTTATGGTATAGTTCTTATAGAAAAGACAGGGTAAATCCTCAGTTCTTTTCCTGTCTCCCTTTTAAACTAATTTTCAGAATAATGAATTCATTAGAATTCTTAAACTGTGATTAATTTATCATTATGAGTTCATGGTTTTAAACACATCAGATAAGTTTTAATTTACTACATTTTTCTTTTATTCATGCTCTAATAATTTGTCTAATTGTTGGCCACTGAAAGCCACTTCAAATTGGCTTCTGGGTATTTTTTTTTACCTAACCCTAGTGGTTCCTCTCTGAGTGACTATGCCACCAACTGGATATATTCTTCACTTGCTTAATTTTTTTATTTTGATTTTTAGGGGCTTTTTTTAAATTTAAAATTTTCAAATTTTGTTTCATAATTACATAAAATATTTACACAGTTCCAAAGTCAAATGTATCAAATGCACAAAGGAAAGTAAATTTAAACAAGTGTAGCTTTTCTCCATCTGTTCCATTTGTTTCTTCCCTCCCTTTCTAGATAACCATTGTTAAATTTCTCCTGTTAAGTAATCATAACTTATAATATGTATCTTTTTTTTTTTTTTTTTTTTTTTTTTTTTTTTTTTTTTTTTTTTTTTTTAAATAAATATTTTATTGATTTTTTACAGAGAGGAAGGGAGAGAGCTAGAGAGCCAGAAACGTCGATGAGAGAGAAACATCGACCAGCTGCCTCCTGCACACCCCCTGCCGGGGATGTGCCCGCAACCAATGTACATGCCCTTGACCGGAATCGAACCCGGGACCTTCCAGTCCGCAGACCGACGCTCTACCGCTGAGCCAAACCGGTTTCGGCTGTATCTTTTTTTTTTTTTAACCTATTCTTACCATTACATTCTGGAGATTATTTCAAAGCAGTATTTAGAGATAGTCTGCATTCCACTTTTAAAGCAGCATAACAATCTGTTATATGGATGTATCATAGTTTATTCAACCAGTCCCCAATTAATAGACATCTAGGCCTATTCCAATTTTTGATAGTACAAATAATTATGCAATTAGTCATGTGGTGCATATCTTTTTACATTTTGCTTATGTACCTGTGAGAGAGAATCCTAGAAACAGAATTGATAAGCCAAGAGTAACACATGTTGGGTAGTTGGATTATAATTAGTTGAATAGGAATTCATTTAAGATTTCTCATTTTTCATTTACGATATAATTAGAAATATAGAGTCTAGATGACATGAAGAAATTGTTTATTTGGTTTAGTGTGAAAGTGGAATTGTGGTTATGTTAAAAACTAATTTAGCTTGGTAACATTAAGTATGCCAGCATAGAGGCTGGACCCCTTTCCATTCCCACCTGCAGGTGTGTGAGTTCTCTTCCCCACAGCCCACCCAGTAGAGGCTGTTGTGAAGCATTTGTGTTTTGTCAGTGTAATATGTGCAGAAAAGTATCTCAGTGTATTTAAAATATATATATATATATATATATTATTGATTTTTTACAGAGAGGAAGGGAGAGAGATAGAGAGCTAGAAATGTCAATGAGAGAGAATAATCCACCAGCTGCCTCTTGCACACCCCCCCTACTGGGGATGTGCCCACAATCAAGGTACATGCCCCTGACCGGAATTGAGCCTGGGACCCTTCAGTCCGCAGACCGACGCTCTATCGCTGAGCCAATCCGGTCTCAGCTCAATGTATTTTTAATGTGCTATTTTCTTATGTTAAGCAGGATGTACATTTGACTTAATTTTCCTTATAATAGCGTTTCACTAACATTGCTAACTTACTTTTGTCTGAAGAACGTAAGAGCGGGAGAGAAAGTTCTCTACGGCCTGTACGGCATAGTGGAGCATAACGGCTCAATGCAAGGAGGCCACTACACTGCGTACGTGAAAGTGAGAACCCCCTCTAGGAAGTTATTGGAACAGATCACTGGGAAGAAAAGTGTACCTGGTATGTTAGCCTAAGTTTACTTTATTCTTAAAAACAAATGAATTTATTCTTCCTTTCCTGGAAGAGATAAGTTATTTCATGGATGACTCTTGTGGATTCACTTTATTAGTGTTGTGTGAGAAATACATTTAAGAGTACTAGATAATCTTAAAGAATCTTAAATATCCTAAGACTGTGCCCTTCTAGGTAATGTAAAGTGGCACCGTTTTTCAAGGTGTTACATCATGTACTGCGGTGAGGTGGCATTTTATTTAATAACTAGTGGCCCGATGCATAAAATTTGTGCACGTGGCGGGTTGGGGGGGGGTGTCCCTCAGCTCGGCCTGCACCCTCTCTTGTCTGTAACCCCTTTGGGAATGTCCAACTGCTGATTTAGGCTCGATCCCACAGGGATCCCTGAAGGATTGGCCTAAACCAGCAGTCAGACATTCCTCTCACAATCCAGGATCCCTGGCTCCTAACCGCTTACTTGTCTACCTGCCTGATTGCCCCAACCACTCTGCCTGCTGGCCAGCTCACCCCCAATGGCCCCCCTCCTCCGTTCTGCTTGCCCCTAACTGCCCCCCTTGCCAGCCTACTCACCCCCAACAGCCCCCTGCCCCCAATTGCCTCCCCTAACAGCCATTTTGCCTCCAACTGCCCCTCCCCCCACCGGCCTAGTCACTCCCAACTGTGCCTCTGCTGGCCTGGTTGCTTCTCACAGCCCCCCTACTGACCTGGTCGCCTTAAGCAGCCTGCTGTTCAGTCATTTGGTCATCCCTCACTAAACCCCCTGCCAGCCTGGTAAGAGGCAGCCACCTTTGTGAGGGTGTGATGGTCAATTTGCATATTACCTCTTTATTATATAGGATAACAAAATTTCTGAAGACACCAGTTCTCAGGATATAGTTGGAGTTGAAATTTTGCTAACTTTGCTTATGGATCAGCAAACTAACTTTGTTTTTTATCTCTTTTAGTGAAAATTATTTTCCTGAAATAATAAATATTTACAAGGCTATCTAATGTTTCACTAGATTTTTCAAGTAAAATGATACTATTATTAATGCTTTAAAGAGTTAGTTCATTTAGGAAGAAATAGACTTATGCAGTAAGATCTAACACTAAATAAATCTACTTTGTGATATGTTATTACTTATAATATAAAGAAAAAAACACACTTATTGTAAAATTATACTTCTTTTTGTTTTGTTAGGTTTGAAAGAACCAGATAGTGAATCGACAGGCCTGTGGTTCCATGTCAGTGACACTCGTGTGCAGGAGGTTCCAGAATCAAGAGCACTTAGTGCACAAGCGTACCTGCTTTTTTATGAAAGAATATTTTAACTAGTTGTTAATTATTAAGGTTAATGATTATTTAGATTACTTTTATTTAAATGTTGCAATGATAGATAGCTATAATATGCACTGTGCCTTTGTAGTTTATTCTCTTCTATAGGAATAGCATGTCCCTCAAATGCTCTTGGACATTTTTACTATTTGGGTGAATCCTTTTAAAGTAACTTAAATTTAGTCAGTGCTTTCAAATTTATATTTTTTAAACAAATATAAACACGTTTTAAAATGTTCTGGAACAAAACTAGAATTTACAGTAGTAGAGGAAATTTCTTTATGATGTCGCCTATTATTACAAACATTCATAAATGATGCTGGCTAAGTCGGATCCTTCCTTAAAACTGTTATCCAGCCCTGGCTGGGTACTTGGTGGGCTGGAGCATCATCCCATACACCAAAAGACTGAGGGTTCGATTCCTGGTCAGGCACATACCTAGGTTATGGGTTCGATACCAGTTTGGGGTGTATACCAGAGGCAGCCGATTAATGTTTATTTCTTTTTCTCTCCCTCTCTCTCTAAAATCAATAAAAAACACAATAACAAAACAAAAGTGTTACCCAAATGTGAGTCACATACCAACTTTCTGATATATATGTATCTCTTGCGCCATTATTTACCTATAATTTTTAACCTTAGTTTTTAACTGTAGCCCCGTTTTTGTGCTAGTTTTATTTTCTCTAATAAACTTAAAATAAATATATAACCATAAAATAAAAATTGTTCATTCATGTAGCAATTCACTCAAAATCATCTCAGGACTATCCAGTGGTAGATGTATGTTGCTGTATGGGAAACATTGCTATTACATACATTTACACAGTTGGCATAGTGATCTTTTCATATTTTGTATGATTTCAGACATAAAAAGGTATCACTGTAACTGAAATAATATGGATTTACAATCAATATATTGATTAGCTTATAGCTTTGCTGTTTTGAGAACAAGAAAAATATTGAAATATTTTATCTACATATTATTTGTAACCTATTAGTGGAGTTGCAAGTGATTAGCCAAGGTCAAAGTATAATTATAGATAATTGTTACATTCAGAATTGATAAATAGAAGTTGTTAATCCATATGAGATCATAGGATATTTTTGAAATATAAATTACCTAATTAAAATTGTAAATGATAATTATATTCTTATTATATTTAACAGGATAGTATGATACATTTATAATTTTGTAGATCAGTAAACATAAATCATGGTAGTAGGGTTTTTGGTCACTTTGTATTCAGCAAATATCATTAATAAGTTCAAGTGAGTAAAGCTTTTAATGGGGCATGAAGTTGGCATTTCTGATTTTCTTTTTAAATAATTAAATAATAGTAAAGAAATGATAGTTTTTCCCCTATAATACAAATTAAGCGGTCAAAACTTGGCATGAAAATATTACTACTGCTTGGGCTTAAATTTTAAAAAATAATTGCAATTTTGGTGTCACTTGATTGAGTCAAAATACATAATTGCATGGTTCAAGCATACTAATCATTAGTGCCAACAAATGATACTATAGGAAGGTGCTGGATAAGTCCCTACTCCCAGTTAGTTTTTCATTTGGGAAGTGAGGAAAAGAATAGTGGCTGGAGATCATTGTGGAAGTATTTAACCAAGGCTTTGGTTCTTATTAATGTGTGAGTATATAACATTATCAGAGTTACCAGTGCTGCCTTTTGATACATGGATGAATGGAATTGTGATAATATACAAAATGCAGAACTTAAAAAATTGTCATGGCACAAATTCTATTTTTAAGCTGTTGTAATTTTAATAGTAGTATTTTTCTTGATTTTTAACAGTAAAATGATGGGAAATATATCTTTATATTATATGTTAATCTGCAAACTCAGGTTGTTAGTCTTATAAAAGGTAGTTTAAACAGTGTTTAAATTAGTATTTCTGTTTAATTGTAATTCATTAACATTGAAGAAATCAGTAGCAGAGCAGTAAATTTTTTTGAGAAATACTAGTTAAATCTCTATCCGTGTCAGCCAACTTGGTAATGACAATTACCATCCACTCCCCCAAATGTAAATATTGTCACCTAATTTTGTTCCTGGAAATGATACTACTACGAGGCTTGCATTTTCCATTGGATGGTCACCTGCTTCTTGTATCATTGATAGAAGAAAGAGAGGGAAGCACAAAGAAAGGTAGAGAAGGAAGGGAAGGGAGAGGAAGAGAGGAAAGAAAGGAAGGAGAGAGCATTCTTTTCTATTCCCCTTTGGCTTATCCCTTACACAGCTACAGTCAGAGATGGTGAGTGATAGTTAAGGCCCAGGATCAAGGAAAGTGCCTACTTCCTCCTTTCACTGATAGGATGCCAGGAAATACATCAGTGCTGTATTTATCAAATGGATATTTTAAGCTCTATTCTGAGTACCAGTGACAACTGATTTTTCATTGAGTGAGTGAGACATTGTAGCTGCAGAACATTACTTTGTACAGAAGTACTGTGGTAATTTTTATGCTTAACTTCACATTTATTCATTATGTATATATTTATTGAACATCCACTAAGGGTCAGGCACCTTGCTGACACTATTTTAACATGTTTTAAAATGGAGAGACCTATATAGGTTTTAGACATTATCCCATAAGTAACATACAAATAGAATACTTTTATTTCCATTTCCATAATGTTAAATGAGCTAATTCTAAAATCTTCTTTTTATGGTCTAGAATTTATGAATGCTTTTCCATGTCTGTTGATAATGGAATAAATTTAATTTTGAAACCTAATAATTTTCTAATCATAGCTCTTGTAAAAAGAGAAAGTATTTTAAGTTATACATGGGTCTGCATTAACATTTTTGTTTTTATTTTGAATATTTCCAAAGCACATTTGTAGGGGTACAAGACTATGAAGCTACTATATTAGCGATAGTTTCCAGATGACCTCAGGAAACAGTACAAATAAGTGAGAATGTTTACAGATCTTCAAAATACCAACTATAAGTGCTTAGCCTAATGAATTTAATAAGTTAAACAGAAATTTTACTAGCTTTATTTAGAAACTGGTTTAGAAGGTATGTCTAATCCCAATTTCCCCTATTTTTTCCATATTTAAAATAAAATTTTGATTGTGCCAATTATATGAATATTTTTGACAACCATGTATATGTCTATATTTAAGATTTTGTCATTTAATATTTTTAAACCTGAAGTGAAGACCGCCTTTTGGGTGACCAAAGGGAGTTGGTAGTTGGTGTCAGTTCTAAGGATAGTAAGCTCATATGTGTTTTATTTTAAATTTGCCAACAGAACTATTTTGCAATATAATATTTAGTAGCTCTTAGCTTGCATGTGACTTTACTCACAGATTATATACAATAGCTAAATAAAATTTCCTGAGGGTTAAGCTGTATAATGTATCACTTTCATTTATTTTTTGTAGTATAAAATAACATCCTGCCTACATTTCTTAAATTCATATTCATAATTTATTTATCTGCATATTACCTGATATATAAGCCTAAACCAAATATGTTATGTGCAATAAAATTGAGCATCTATATACAGTGTATAAAGAAATACTATTTTTAGATATTTAAAAAGTATTGGTTAATGTGAAAATTCATCAATTCAAATCTATTTAAAGATGGATAACTATATTTTTAATTTTGAGTAGCCTTGGGTAATATATCATTCCTACGATTTTTATCTTTACTTTTTTTTTTGCAGTGTTTTTAGAAAATAACTAAACTATTGAGTATTATTTTGATGTTCCTGTATAAGCATGCATAATAAATATTAAATTCTTATTTACTTTATACTTCAAGATTGGTCCTGGAGTTTTTTTGCAATGCACATTATTGAGTAGAATATCTTACCTATCAACATTATATTTACTTACTTAGCTAAATTCAAATATTCTTTGTATTTTAGAAATTCTTGGTTTCAAAATAAAGTATCTTAAATGATACTTTTACTCAGATTTCATTGTCTACCAAAGGTGAGTCTTCATCCTTTCAGATGTTTCTGGAAATGTTTGTGTTATTTAGGCAGGATAATAAATTAGGTAATATTTTGTTTAACTGTGTTTTACCTTTTTTTGGGTCATATAGCTCTTTGAGATTATGAGGAAAGTTATAGTCCACCTTTCATTTGTTTAATAACTTAGTATTTATTGAATACCTGCTGTGTAGTAGGCATTGGGAATATACCACTAAACCCAGGAAATAGAAATCCCAAGAAGGGAGGTAGTAGACATCCTAAGAAATGAAGGGTAAGGAAAAGATATATCAAATGGCAAATGACATGGAGAAAATTCAAGCAATATTACCCATAAAGCCATATAGGAACTAAGGTCCTGCCAACCCCGAAGGGAAACTGAGTGTTGGGAAGAGGAGGGCTTTAACTGGGGAGCCCTCTCCTAGAAGATGGGAAGGAAAATTCTCAAAAAAATATATGCAGCAGATTTCCATATGTAATTTTAGAGGTTCATGAGTTCCCTGAAAAATGTATTTTCATACATTTTTAAAGTTGCACTCAAGCAGAAATATCCAAAATGTTTGTATTCCCATTTATATGTAGATAGGCTGCTTATGCCACATTAGCAAATAACCAAACATCCCAGTGGCTTCACACAACAGAAGTTTATTTCTCACCCGGAGTTCACTATGAGTCTTGGCAATTGTAAAGGCACCTATTTTCCAACTGGTGACCGTAATCCAGGCCGATTGTGGCTCTTACCATTTCAACACCAGGCCTCACACTCTGGCAGGGAAAGTGAGCATTAAAATGTCTTGCACCAACGATTAAATTCTTCATCTTGGAGGTGTCTCCAAACAACCACTGGCCAGAAGCAGTCACAAGTCTCTGCCTACTTGCAAGTAGGGATGGGGGAGGAAAAAGTAGGTCTTCCATGGGTTCAGGAAAAAAGCATGGGAAGAGTCACTAAATACTCAGCTCTTCTGTCTACACATGGAACATGGTGACTCCATTTTTATGGGGTACAGCCCCAAAGTCGCATCCAGCCTGGCAG